GCTGTCGCCCCTGAGGACTATGATGAAATACCTCGTTTCTGGTAGAAAGAGTCTCTGGTTCTTTACACGCACAATACCAAACACAGCAGAATTAACCTGCTATTTTAGGCTGGTATTCAGTGAGATCGTGGTTCTTCCCCGGCCGAGCCGATCCGTTCCTGCCACTATCGTTATATAGCTGCAGCGTGGCTCTAACACGTAAAAAGCAAATAAATGTTTGCTATATTTTAAAAAGAAATTTCCTGAATCATGGCGGCGTATTCGTCAACTTATTTAAAGGTAATCAAAATTAAGAATAATTTTCTATGTTATACGCATAAATTTCAGTCAATAGGATTATATGGGTCGGGAAACGGCTTTTACAAAAACGAAACACAAAATATAAAATAAAATTTTCCGTAGGTTGTCAAAACTGAAATTGAAGTCTGACAGGTTTCAGGAAACCTTTGAAAAATCTGTTGATAAACGAAGCATTTGAAGCTATTTTTTTATAGAAATTCTTGCTAGCCGCTGTGGCTTCGCATGGGTGATTTCTGGATTTTTTTAACAGCGCCACTACTATTTTTAAAGATATTGTATTAATTTAGATATGTCTGCGATTGCTTTTTTTAAAAGTAATTTATCCCACTCCCTTCCACCATCGGACAACCAGACGCTCGTCTCTCTCCACGCTTTCGTTGTAGAATTACCACTCATTCAAACTTAACGGTTTACATCATTGTTCGCCATGCGTGCAGCAAAGGAGTGTAATAATTTGCCAGCATTTGTCTTTCCATCCGATTACATTGAAAATTGAAAAAAAAATCTTTATTGCTATAATCTCAACAATTTATACATTTCAATGTAACCCTAGTTCCTGTAAAAGATTAACCTAAGTAACAGTAGTTAGTTCCTTCATATATTTGATAAAATATTGTTGAATAAAGATAAATAAACAGTTAAATCCGTGGGTAGCTCAGATGGTTATCGCTCGCTGTAAGCTTCACAGTACTCGAGCAACCCGGGTTTGATCCCCGCCGGCACCAGTGAAATTGTTAATTGCAATTTTAAGTGCAGATTTACCACGTGCTCGGCGGTAAAGGAAAACATTGTGAAGAAACCTGCATAACTGATAAATAAGAAAAAAAATATTTTGAAGATATGTGAAGTGCGCCAAAACGCATTGGGGCAGCGCGGTGGACATTTATTTGCCCTAAAACCCTCTCAGAAATGAAAGGAGGCCTGTGCCCAGCAGTGGGACGGAAATAGGCTGCAACTTTACTTTACATTAAACAGTTAAAAACATTGCGGGATGTCTTCAAGGCAAAAGGCTCCGGCTGCATTGCCACTTCCCATAAGGTTGCATAAAAATCTAGCATTGGCTTTCAATAGTTTAAAAAACAGCCTTAATTTGCAATTATTTCAAAAATTATTGTTTTCCGAATTAGGTTATATTTTGACGTTTATAACAGCTTTAAACAAGTTTTATTCTGCTTGACTCTAAGGCAGTTATATTATATATATATATATATATATATATATATATATATATATATATATATATATATGTATTTTTTTAATAAACTCAAATTTCATGACTAAGTTTGATTTTATTTAAAAATATAAAACTACAAATTTGATAAAAAAAAATTAATAATTTGTTCACTGCAATAACTACGCGTAAAAATTAAGTTGGATTTTATTTTAACATTTATCAAAATATCATTATCATTACAACCTATAAAAGTTATTAATAGATTGATTCAAATCGGGATTATTTGCTGTAAGTGACGTTATGTTTTTAGTCTATATATGTTATAGTTATTCTTAGTAGAGCGAGGTAGGAGCTACATTATGCGTCAGCTTGATCGGGGAAGGGCCACGCTCTTGCAGAATACAAGCATAAAATAACTTAATGCTGTTGTGTTTGGTATGATGAGTGTATAGGTACAGAGAGCCTTTTTACTGGAAACGAGGCATTCCATCTCAGTCTTCAGAGGTGAAAACGCATTCTGAATTCTTTTTCTTTGAAGGAAGCCTTCCCAGCCTTCGTTAATTATGACATCAGGACGTGAACCAATCCAAAAACGTCGAGAATTAAAACTGTTAAAATTAAAAGCTGTAAAAAGTAATATAGTTATATACCACAACACTAAAGTTCCAAGAGAGCTTACAGATCATATGATTATAGGCTAGTTAGTGCAGTCCATGCACTGGCTCATAAACCAACTGCCAACTAGAAGGCAATGGAGCCTTAAGTATACGTTATGTGTACGTTATTACCTCTGAGCTCATATTACCCGTGTTATAGCTTAGCTAGCTTATGATCTGAGCACAGTAATAGCTGCTTTTCGGTTAAAAGACTTCTAGGTGGAAAATTAAACTTTTAATAAAATGTAAACCTGCCTTCGCAGAACTAAAATAATAATAGGATATGTTTATATATATATATATATATATATATATATATATATATATATATATATAAGTATAAGGACTTAAAGCCCCTGAAATGAGTACATATTGTAAGATAATATTATATACTTTTAGTTGTTTGCAGTCGGCTTTAACTTAATATTAATGCTTAGTAATTTAACCCTTTTGCGTTTAGTAAGGAATATAACAATCTCAAAGTAACAACCAGAATAAAGTCTAAATTTGAAGCAAAGATTATTTAAGAAATAACAACAAAAATTGGATCACAATTGGCGAAGATATTGCGTAACGTACGTACGGAAATAGAAACATAAATAATTTAAAATTAAAAATTTTGTACAGCCGACTTCAATATAAGTTGTTAAGAATAACTCAAAAACTATTGGTTTAACCTTGATTAAATTCATATGGGACCACACGAGAAGTACCAGCTTTCAAATAAAAAAAGATCCATCGAAATCGGTACAACCAGTAAAAAGTTATGAGGTAACACACATAAAAAAGTCCTTTTTAGAAGTCGGCAAAAAATTTATTCAATATAGATTATAAAAATAATACTTATTGTAAGTCGCTTTTATGTTACTACCACTGGTTTGGAATACAGAAGTATATTAGTGGTCATGGCCCTGGGAAGAACTAGCTAGAAACCCATCATGATTTTTATTGAAAAGAACAGTTTACAATCATTATATGATATAAAATTAAAAAGAACATATATTCGAATTGATTGATTTTATTAATATAATCTTAGCATAGCCATTTAGCGAGGAAACGCAACCAGTTGTTCTTAGCACTATATCACGGGGAATAGGGCTGTTTGATTGTTAAACTTTTAGTGCTTTTATTGTACCTTATGTATGTAGATAAATTGGAAACAGTGAAACGATTTTAATTGGGTAAGATATTAATTATATCGGTATTAATCAACATTTGAACTATTTAACTTTATTATCATTTAGTAACTTTAGTAATAAATCTTTCCCTTCGTATCCCAGCTCATTTGTCCTTATTCCTCAATAAATTAATCATTTTCGGTTACAGCTCTACCTGTATTTTTGTGGAACTCATTGCTTTTATATTGAATGTTACTTTGTATCACTGTTGTACCTGAATAAAATATATTATTATTATTATATATTCGACAGGCTCAGTCGCTTTTATCCTTCAAAAATCTACTCAAAGCTTTTTTATTTGGATCTCCAATATTTCCCATCATATTTCCGTCTTTAATTGTATCTATCATACCTATCTTTAACTGTCATCATCCTGTGTTTTTATATAATCTTTTTTCTTTTATTTAATTTATAAATTTATGTATAACTTCCCTTTTTGCTATTTGTTATAAACAACAGTTCTTTTCGCAAAACGGTTGTCTGGAATAAAATCGCTTCCAGAGCGATAAGACCGCCTATAGTACCTTCTACATAATTAGATTATTTTGATAATTTTTGATTGAGACATTTTAAGTGCTTTGCAGCACTCATAGTCACTAAACTAAAAATCAACTAAAAAAATTACGCGATAAAATTCGTAAAAATAGTTTTGTTCAACATGTAGTGTTCGCATAAATATAATATATCATTATTTACTACATTTTTGTATTGGTTTTGGTGTACAAAAAATAATATATTGATAGATTGATTGATAAGGCCATAAAAAAGTTTCAATCAATGAAATGTAAAAGTATAGCAAAATTAAAGTACGTCGCGACGCTGGGCACAGGGCTCATCTCATTTTTGAGAAGAATACCATATATACACAATCCTTTCCACTGTGTGTTAGTAGACTTCGTATTTCCTCGTAATATTTCCTCAAAATAATTCCTCAGATATGCAAGTTTCCTCGTGATGATGTCTTACATTTCGGCCGTGGACGAGATAAATCATAAAAAAATTACCCTGACGCCGGCGGGGATCAAATCCGGAATGCTCGCGTATTGTAAATTTATAGCGAGCGCATAGCCCAAGGACCTACCGTACAGAATAGAATTGATTATAATCAATGTTATTCAATATAGATTACACACTTATAGAATATAATTTAAGATTTACGACTGGTTCGGAAAAAAATCTCAGCAAGAACAAATAATAAAAAAAGAAACCCAACGGGACTTAGTTTTAAACTTCATTTTTGTAAGAAATTCCAAGCTATTTATGAACAACAAAAACCAATTGTTTTCTTATTTTCTTTTAAAATTTTATTTAACAAAAATGGGAATAACATTTCTTATAATATATTTGAGATAGGAACTTACAGTCCAGCAGATGTTAAGGGGATAGTGTAGTTCATGGACTCCTGCAACTAACTTTACGTATAGAAATATATACAGAAGTTTAGTTCTAAAGATTAAGATGGAATACCTCACAGCCTGTTATTATACTGGCTGTCTATAACCTTCAGATGGAACACAGTACCACAGTAGTTAATGGACAGATTATTGGTCGCAGAAATAGGTAAGAACTTGGTACTAACCACACGGAATCCTAGGCAGTAGAGGAGGAGTCACTAAACCTATTTTATCAACAGTATAAAATTTTGAGCACAATACACAGTCATTTGTATTAAATAATAATAATAATACGAACCATCAAGGAGGCAAAGGAACAGGACGAACAGATGACAAATCCTTCTCATCTGGATGATTATATTGTCACTTTGCTTAAGAAATAAATTTTCTGTATTTTTTTTCACAGAATCAAACTAAACACAACAAAAGCACTCTGTAACCACAGCCTTAAAAATATGTAGTTAAATCTGAAAACACTTATTTTTCGTAAAGCCTAATGAAAAACAACTGAAATCGCCTACGTCTGTAGAGGCGACTTCGTAGCGCATAGCGACCGCCCGCTACGCTAGCTATGACACGACTGGCTACAAAGTAGCACGTCACCTCTACAAGGCTGCTCATTATTTCAGCGAACTGGCTCCTTACTCGCTCTATAAAAGGCTCGTATCGTGCGTCGAAGTTTTTATAAACTAAATTTGTCACTACGGCTTGTTACATTTTAATCAATGAGTAATGTTTCTCATAAACCTCAAAGCACTAAAATGCTAAAAAAAGAAGTTAATACATATTTAGCTTTTAGGAGATTTATAGTGATTAAGCAGGAAATAGAAATAAAAAGAATATATTTATGATATGGTTATTATAGTAAACTGTTATTGATTTTTAAATAATAATAATAGTGTTAATTTAATAAGTAATATTATAATGTATATTTAATAGTAATTGTCAATATTTTCAGTGCCCTTGCAAAGTTCCTGTTTTAAACTAATTTTATAATTAAGACCTAAACTAAAAAATGTTTGGCGTAAAACAAGAATAGTAACTAAATTAAATTTCAACATTTTATTAAGGACGATTAAGGGCGCGATTTAACGAGCATACAGTCCACCTAATAGTAAGTGAAGTTAGGAAGTTATACGTGGTAGAGCAATGCTGCAGATATATTAGTAGTATAGTTGTAGCACGAATGGGTCGGCTCGACCGGGGAAGAACCACTCTCTCGCAGAATAATAACGTAAAAGAGCAGCTTAAAATTGCTGTGTTTCGTATGGTGAGTGTAGAGAACCGGATACCCTTTTTACTGTAAAAGAGGCATTCCATCTTAGTCCTTATGGATAACAACGCATCTGTGTTTTGATTCGCAAACGAGGATAGGTCTAAATATCTATAGGCCACAGCAACTACTTATCATTAATCAGGTGGACAGTGTGTCTGTTTCTCACCCTATCCTATAAAAAAAGTGAATGCAGTGCATAGACATTCTACATATTTACTTGTATGTCTTCATGGAGTTTTTGATCAATGATATAAAAGTTACGAAATATTTTTTTCAATGTCATCTATTATCATTATAGCCTTTAAAAAGTCAACTGCTTAACAAAAGACTGCCATATAAATAGGTTTTGATATTGCCATTCTTGGCAGGTGTGTTGATAACAGTAGTTTGTTTTATTTTCTATATATTATAAGGAGATGTATTCACACTAAAAATACTGCAGCATTAATTTTGATATGAACCTCCTAAAATCCATAGCAGTAAAAACTTGAGTTCTTTGTGATTTGAATTTTGGATAAAAATTATTTTGGATAAAAGCTCAATAAAATTACTTCCTACCGAAAAATCAAAAGTGAATAAAATAAATATTTCGGATTTGGTCGGTCGGATCGGCTTAATTATTTTTAATTAATAGAATCTGGCGTTACTTTGCGGAAATCCATTTTATAAAAGTTGGTAAAAATTACCTCGCGTACATCCACTCGATAAAATAAAATGATGTATTTTATCTAGTTTGAAGAGCACTTCCCGCCCTCCCTCAATTGCGTGCACTATCAATGTATGTGTGTAACCACTAATCTCAGCACCACTACTCCCAACACCACTTCACTAGGAAAAACACATCACTGACGACAATACGACACGTGTTTCGCCTCTACGCGAGGCATCTTAAGGTGATGTAGACTATTTTTTTTAAGTTATAAGTTTTTAAGTTAAAGTTTATACTAATTAATTATTTTTATAGTTTGGAATGCTTTGCAACACTAATGGTCACGGGAAGACTTAGTTTTTTTTTTAAATCGGTTTACGCAGAACTTAATGTAATTATAATATATGTCATCTTAATAATGAATCAACATTCAACGCATACATCATGGGTACTGACTAGGAGATCCTAGCTGGAGACAGGTGGAATAAGAGATAGACGAATTGCGCTGGGATTTTATAGGAATATCTGAGGTCCGAAGAAAGAAGAGTTATATCACCGGGACGACGGCCATCGTTCTCAAGGAGGTGTCGGATTTATCGCCCTCTAGTCTCTCGTTAGCAACGTCGTAAAGATTGGGAGTGTGTCGAACAGGGTAACGTACTATATAATCAGAATAACCAAATGATATTTGTCGATAATCATACAGGTTTATGCACCAACCTTAGCATATCCCGATGTGGAGGTGGAGGAAATGTATGAGGACATCTCTAAAACCATGCATTCCTCCAAAACCCTATATGATGTTAATGTTAAAAAAATATGAGAGACTTCAACGCGAAACTTGAAATAGATTAATTGTTCCGACTTATTCATACAGTCATTTAAATCAGTTTTTGAAACAATATTGCTAACCGACTGACTTACACGACTGTTCTTATATATCATATAGAGAATGTGGTACGGTGACGTAATTTATAGATGCCTTTAAGTTACTTTACTATTAGTTTGTATACACAAAAGCCTCGCTACAATAACCGGTGGACAACAAAGAACGTATCGAACAAAAATAACATTCGTATAGTTTTTTCAGTGCGAGGGCATTATAAAGACTCTTCAGAAATTTTTAACAGGGACTGTCATACTGACATTGTTAAAAATAACTAAAAGTAAGATATTCATTTACAGATATGCGCACGTTAACATTTGTTACTCTTGTAGCGAGATCATTAAAATAAAAAAGAAACGTAAAAATAATAATTTAGCAAGTGTGTCGTTAATAGAATATGGATAAAAATGCTGCCATTTGTTATCGTACGTATAAAATAGGTCACTGAAAAATTTATTATAATTTCATTTTTATTTTACAAAATAATTCATTTTTCTTGGGTACTTAATTATTTTTTTAATTTATATTTCTCAGTCGTATTTCAGCAGTGGCTGCTCAGTAGATCATTTAAGTTTTATCTTTAAACTTTTCTTTAAAAGTGTTTCATGATTTATTTTCTTCATTGTTTCCCGAAATTAATGGTAAATACACTTTTTTATTTCCTTCTTTTAAATTAGCCGAAAAGGTACCGGAAATGGAATATGTACCTAATATAGAATATCATTACAGCTTTTACATTTTACTATATTGTAAGATTACATTGCTTCCTAGGAGTAGAGTAGTAGAGCCGTGGTAGCTCAGATGGTTAGCGCTCGCTGTAAGCTTCACAGTACTCGAGCAACCCGGGTTCGATTCCCGCCAGCACCAATGAAATTGTTAATTGCAATTTTAAGTGCTGATTTACCACGTGCTCGGCGGTGAAGGAAAACATCGTGAGGAAACCTGCATGTCTGAGAAATAAGAAAAAAAAAATATTTCGAAGACATGTGAAGTTCGCCAACACGCTATGGGGCAGCGCGGCGGACATTTCCTTGCCCTAAAACCCTCTCAGAAATGAAAGGAGGCCTGTGCCCAGCAGTGGGATGAAAATAGGCTGCAACTTTACTTTAAATTTACTAGGAGTACGTCTGGATTGGTACAATACTCTTACCGTCGCTGTAAAATAACCATGTGTGCACTTCAGAGTTCCGGCCTGAGCCAGTATTGTTAGAGGTTGTGAGTTATTCCATCTTAGTCCTCAGAGGTGACATCGCATCTGTAACCTTCTACAGCCTCTTACAATAAGATGGAGGATGGATCTTCTCTGCAATTATTTTTATAAAAATATGGGTGATAAACGAGCACAGTCCACCTGATTGTAAGCGGATAATGTGACCAATAGACATCAACATTTATCCATGATTAAGAATCAAAATGCAGATGTGTTGTCAGCCGTGAGGACTAAGATGGGATGCCTCGTTTCCAGTAAGCAGGTGCTCCGGTTCTCTACACTCACTATTTTATGCTGGTATTCTGTAAGAGCGTGGTGCTACCTCAGTCAAGCCAACATATTCGTTACTATACCACATGCCGACATTTACAAGTTAATGAAGACAAAATATAATATATCGAAATTCAGCGTTGCTATATTCATATAAGGGGTCATTTAATAGATAATCCCCTAATATATAAGAAAGTTGTTACTGTGCAAACACAACGTATTAAGGGCCTAAACAAATAGGATCAAACGTTATAGTTATATTTAAAGGAACAAACTCAATCTTTGGAACAATGTATGAGTATTGTCGAGTATATTATATTAAATTGTTCGGACTAATTCCAGCCGCTCAATTTCACCATCTCACATCGCGACAAAACTCGCGTTACCGTCCATACCATATGGATGATTGGCGGTCCACCACTGTGCGATTTAGAAGAAGTTTTCTCCCTCGCACAATTGGAATCAATTACCAACAGCGAATTTTCCGGACCGATACGACTTAGGGACCTTCAAGAATAGAGCTAACACCTTTCTAAAAGGCCAGCAACGCATCTGCAATTCCCCTAGTGTTGCGGTTGGTCATGGGTGGCGGTAGTCACTTACCATCAGATGAGCCGCATGCTCGTTTGCCCCCTCTCCTATAAAAAAAATATTTAAAAAAAAAAGCTTTACGTGAGATTATAATTTAAGATTTCATTAATAGACACAACAAATTGTTGAAGAACAAAAATTATAAAAATAACATATTTATAAACAGTTTTTAAAAAAAAAATGTATCTTAAGTATATAATAAAAGCTGATTAACATTTTGTAATTTACTTTTATACTTCTATGTCAACCCTACCTTATTAGAAAGCACTCACATGGCATAACAAATATACAATCTTGCACGCGTTTTATAATATTTCAATACCAATGTTTACAATATTTCTTTCGAGATTAAAATGTTCGCGGACTTTTTGTTCACGCAATTCATACGTTCATTTCAGATACATTCTCACATTGGATGGAACTCGAATAAGCACCATCGTCTGTTGGCAATCTTGCTTTTCCAAA